AGAGATGTAAGCCACAGCACCTTGTTCTCTTTTGCTGACAATACCAGAATTTGCATGATAACGTCATTAATTGAAGACACTGCAAATCCCCAAGTGGACATTAACCAAATCTTTAAATGGGCATCATAAAACAATATGAAGTATGAAGTTCAGTGAAGACAAATTTCAATTACTCCGCTGTGGAAAACTAGAGGAAATAAAAACTGTATTGGAGTATAAAACATTCAAATTACACAATAGAGTGAAAAACTAATGTGAAGGACCTGGGAGTGGTAATGTTAAAGAGCCTTACTTTCAAAGATCACAACAGTGTACCTACCACATGATAGGATGGATAATGAGAACATTCAAAGCTAGGGATGCCAAGACAATGATAATTCACTTCAAATTGCTGGTTCGCTCTAGGTTGGAATACTGCTAATGGCCCCTTTCAAGGCAGGCAAAAATTGCAGACCTGGAGAATATATGGAGACCTTTACTGTATGCATAAGTACCATACAGTACCTAAATTACTGGGGACAATCGAAGGCCATTGACCTGTACTCCTTGGAAAGATACATGATAATATACACTTGGAAAATCCTAGAGTGATTAGCCCCAAATCTACTCACCGAAATCACTCCCAGGACAATGAAAAAGAAAAAGACTGGGCAGGCTGTGCTGTATAGTCCTTGTGGCTTAGCGCTTCTTTTTGATTATAATAATAATGGGCAGGCTGTGCAACATCCATTGAAAAGCTTAGGCACCACGAGCATGCTAAGAAACAACACTGGAGTTTACCTGGAGAGAGTTTCGGGGGTCAACGCCCCCGCGGCCCGGTCTGTGACCAGGCCTCCTGGTGGATCAGCGCCTGATCAACCAGGCTGTTGCTGCTGGCTGCACGCAAACCAACGTACGAGCCACAGCCCGGCTGATCAGGAACTGACTTTAGGTGCTTGTCCAGTGCCAGCTTGAAGACTGCCAGGGGTCTGTTGGTAATCCCCCTTATGTGTGCTGGGAGGCAGTTGAACAGTCTCGGGCCCCTGACACTTATTGTATGGTCTCTTAACGTGCTAGTGACACCCCTGCTTTTCATTGGGGATGGTGCATCGTCTGCCAAGTCTTTTGCTTTCGTAGTGAGTGATTTTCGTGTGCAAATTCGGTACTAGTCCCTCTAGGATTTTCCAGGTGTATATAATCATGTATCTCTCCCTCCTGCGTTCCAGGGAATACAGGTTTAGAAACCTCAAGCGCTCCCAGTAATTGAGGTGTTTTTATCTCCGTTATGCGCGCCGTGAAAGTTCTCTGTACATTTTCTAGGTCGGCAATTTCACCTGCCTTGAAAGGTGCTGTTAGAGTGCAGCAATATTCCAGCCTAGATAGAACAAGTGACCTGAAGAGTGTCATCATGGGCTTGGCCTCCCTAGTTTGGAAGGTTCTCATTATCCATCCTGTCATTTTTCTAGCAGATGCGATTGATACAATGTTATGGTCCTTGAAGGTGAGATCCTCCGACATAATCACTCCCAGGTCTTTGACGTTGGTGTTTCGCTCTATTTTGTGGCCAGAATTTGTTTTGTACTCTGATGAAGATTTAATTTCCTCATGTTTACCATATCTGAGTAATTGAAATTTCTCATCGTTGAACTTCATATTGTTTTCTGCAGCCCACTGAAAGATTTGGTTGATGTCCGCCTGGAGCCTTGCAGTGTCTGCAATGGAAGACACTGTCATGCAGATTCGGGTGTCATCTGCAAAGGAAGACACGGTGCTGTGGCTGACATCCTTGTCTATGTCGGATATGAGGATGAGGAACAAGATGGGAGCTAGTACTGTGCCTTGTGGAACAGAGCTTTTCACCGTAGCTGCCTCGGACTTTACTCTGTTGACGACTACTCTCTGTGTTCTGTTAGTGAGGAAATTATAGATCCATCGACCGACTTTTCCTGTTATTCCTTTAGCGCGCATTTTGTGCGCTATTACGCCATGGTCACACTTGTCGAAGGCTTTTGCAAAGTCTGTATATATTACATCTGCATTCTTTTTGTCTTCTAGTGCATTTAGGACCTTGTCGTAGTGATCCAGTAGTTGAGACAGACAGGAGCGACCTGTTCTAAACCCATGTTGCCCTGGGTTGTGTAACTGATGGGTTTCTAGATGGGTGGTGATCTTGCTTCTTAGGACCCTTTCAAAGATTTTTATGATATGGGATGTTAGTGCTATTGGTCTGTAGTTCTTTGCTGTTGCTTTACTGCCCCCTTTGTGGAGTGGGGCTATGTCTGTTGTTTTTAGTAACTGTGGGACGACCCCCGTGTCCATGCTCCCTCTCCATAGGATGGAAAAGGCTCGTGATAGGGGCTTCTTGCAGTTCTTGATGAACACAGAGTTCCATGAGTCTGGCCCTGGGGCAGAGTGCATGGGCATGTCATTTATCGCCTGTTCGAAGTCATTTGGCGTCAGGATAACATCGGATAGGCTTGTGTTAATCAAATTTTGTGGCTCTCATAAAAAATTCATTTTGATCTTCGACTCTCAATCTGTCAGGGGACCAAGACTGTTCAGCTGCCTCCAGCATACATAAGGGGGATTATTAATAGACCTCTGGCTGTTTTCAAGAGGGAGCTGAATGCACACACCTAGTCAGTACCTGACCAACCAGGCTGTGGTTTGTACATCAGTTTACATGCAGCCAGCAGTAATAGCCTGGTTGATCAGGCCCTGATGCACCGTGAGGCCTGGTTATGGACTGGACTGCAGGGATGTTGACTCTTGGAATACCCTCCAGGTATACTCCAGGGACCATTGGGGTTCCTTTTGGGTTATTTTAGATTTCTGCCACTGGCTGGTGAAACTTTTCCTAAATAAAAAAACCCAAATGTTTCACAAGTGTCTCACTGTTCAATTTGTTGGTTTCTAAACCATTTATATAAGGTCTCTTGATGTTTTTCTAAAATTGTTTCAGTTTCACTGTTTTAAATTGTGCTAAATTGTAATATGTACTTCATACTGTAAATTGTGCTTGATGATTGCTCAGCTGTTTAATCATTACTTTAAACTTAAAATTGTTTCAACTTCATTGTTTTAAATTGTGCTAAGTTGTAATAATGTATTTTTTATATAGCATATCAAAACTGGAATTCTTCTCTACCTAACTTATTAAAGCCATATAGTGTGAACTAGTTGAATATTCAATTTTATTCATTGTAACTCACCTAATGACCATATGTACAATTACAGCACTGTTATTGCCTTATTCATCTTCAGTTGGTCTTAAGTTTGCCTGAAATGCTCTGCATATAAAGGGGCTTTTGGCATGTTTACCCAATTGTTACACTCCTTTGTACAAACATGTATTATGCTAAAATAAAATTGTTATTGTTATATTTGGTTATAGTCGTTTCAAGGGATTTGTATACCCTACCATGGTATTATACTTGGTGGTGTCCCAGTGTGTTTTTCTTGAAGAATGAGACACGTGCAACATTTGGGAATTTTTATTGAGGAAACATTTCGGTAGCCAGTGGCTTCTACAGTCCAATACAAAGAACAGCGGAAGATGAAGAGAATGAGGTAATCAGTCCCTCAGCCTGGAGTCAATGTGTGCAGTCCATCAATCTTGAGAAAAGTACAGCATATGGTTAGGTTTGCCAGGAAACTGGACAAGGGTGTGGTTAGGTTAGGCAAAATTTGCCAGGAAGCAGGACAACTGTTTCCTGACGTGGGTCTTAGTCCTATGATGACTTGTCGCTGCCCGCCGGAGCTTTTGGTCATCTGACTAACGCCTTCCGTTGGCTTACCGCTCCACCCCTTTAAAAATTATGGTTATAATTATAATCATTTATAAGGATGCTTGACAAGAGTGTGCTCGAAGAAGTGGCTTATATACTGCAGTCAGGCAAGTAAAAGTTAGTTTAGTAAAAAGCAGGAAGCATTTGGTGGAAAATAATAATATCTTTATTTCTACAAGTAGTATGACATCAATGACATACTACTACATAGAGAGCCACTTGTTAAGCAGAACATTTCGGGCAAATTAGGTCAGTTTTGTCCCAGGATGCAACCCACACCAGTCAAGATAAGATAAGATAAGATTTCGTTCGGATTTTTAACCCCGGAGGGTTAGCCACCCAGGATAACCCAAGAAAGTCAGTGCGTCATCGAGGACTATCTAACTTATTTCCATTGGGGTCCTTAATCTTGTCCAGGTACCTATTTTATACTGGACACCCATGTCAAGGGCCTGGTGGCTAATTATTATAATTATGGGGGAACGCTAAACCCGTAGGATTATATAGTGCATGTGAGGGGGATGGAAGGTATTCAAGCTCAATTCAGGGAACTGGAGCACAGATCAAGAGCCCTTCACCAGCGTCAAGGAACCTCCTTTGAGGGGCCTGGTGGCTAAAGCTCTCGCTTCACACAGCGAGTGTCTGGGTTCGATTCCCAACGAGGGTAGAAACATTGGACGTGTTTCTGTACACCTGTTATCTATATTCATCTATCAGTAAAATACGTACCTGGGTGTTAGTGGACTGGTGTGGGTCGCATCCTGGGGACAAAACTGACCTAATTTGCCTGAAATGCTCTGCATAACAAGGGGCTTTCTATATAGTAGCATGTCACTGATGTCAGCTAGACCTGTACATGTACTTGTAGAAATAAAGGTATTATTGTTATTAATTATTATTATTATAGTTGAGAATGGATTAAAAGATGCACCATTATTTTCACTGTAGATCTATTCTCATAATAATAAGACATATGTAATAAGGCTTTAAATTGTATATAAAAATTAAAAGTAAATATTTAAGTTGAATACTTTCCCCAAATCGTGGTGTATCTATAGGTCATTTAATGCGTAGGTGGGCGTATTAGGTGGCTTTATTTTGAGCGTGCAAATGCACCAAATTGTATTTCCATCATAAATGTATCATAATAGTAAATAAATAAACTATAAAATCAATCATTATAACATCTATATATACTTCTTAGAAATATTTTGGCTGTGTTATGAATGTTGTCCTCGCGGGTGATAATAACCACAGTCATCCTGCCAACTATCCTTGTAGCCACGTCAGATTTTAAAAAAAAGTTTTCCTGGGCCTAGACTGGGTTGATGGGGCTGCTACCATCTCCGTGCAACCTGCAGACTGGCACCTACACTCAGTGAGAGCCTTGACACGGGCCTCAGCACTCTTGAAGAGTGAAGACACTCGCCTCAGGTTGGTATATAAGGACACTTGTGTGTGCAGGATATATACGCTGAGATGTGTATTATTCTTAGCGTATATGTGCTAAGAGTTTACCTTAATCCCTGTTTTAGGGGTTAAAGTATATCTGGTGATGAAAATGTTAAGTGCAGACTTAATGACCCTCGTGTAGTCGATAGGCTTCAAACCATATTAACCAACCCACCACCTCAGGACATTTAATAAGGAAACGTTTTATCACGAGTGGCTTCATCTGAACTAATGAAGTCACTCATTAGCGAAACGTTGCGTTTAATAAATGTCCTGAATTGTACAAACTGGAGGGTGTATTTCTTTATACTGAATTTGGTATATTGGTACCTGGGGAGATTTTTTCAGTACCTGGTTATGTATCACCCTTGACGGGGAGGGTCCCTTGAAAGAGAGGGTACCTTGATGGGGAGGGTCCCTTGAAGGAGAGGGTCCCTTGAAGGAGAGGGTCCCTTGATGGGGAGGGTCCCTTGATGGGGAGGGTCCCTTGAAGGGGAGGGTCCCTTGAAAGAGAGGGTACCTTGATGGGGAGGGTCCCTTGAAGGAGAGGGTCCCTTGATGGGGAGGGTCCCTTGAAGGAGAGGGTCCCTTGATGGGGAGGGTCCCTTGAAGGGGAGGGTCCCTTGAAGGGGAGGGTCCCTTGAAGGGGAGGGTCCCTTGAAGGGGAGGGTCCCTTGATGGGGAGGGTCCCTTGAAGGGGAGGGTCCCTTGACATGTAAACAAATGGCATATAAAATAATAAGAGGAATTTACAAGGCGTATAGAGACAGAATGTTTCAGAGATGGGACACAGAAACAAGGGGTCACAACTGGAAGTTAAAATCTCGGATGAATCACGCACACGTGACTAAACTGTGTGCAAGCAGTGTATATCCAGTAAGACCTCACAAAGTGTCATTTATGTTCCTGAAATCAATGCTTTATGTATAATTGTGATATGTAATGTGTATAATATACGTAAATGAAAAATAAGGTTAGGTACACAGCACTTCCAAGAAAGCCATATAGATTTGTTTAAGTATATATCTCATAAAAAAAAACAGTTCTTGATGCCTTACATTGTACATGTGGTTGCTTGTTAACCTAACACCACTATTTATCATTTACCAGCACTGTCACCACCTAACACCATCTAGCATGACCCTCCAACATTACTTACAGTCAGGAATATTTCATAGTGTAACTGCTACTACCTCCACAACCTACCAACCCCATAACCTTTGACCACCTACCAGCACTGTCACTACCTAACACAATCTATCATGAAATTAATTTTTTTTCCTGCTTAATCTGCATTAAACACAGGCTGGGGATATGAAAATGATTAGCATTGTATTAAATAAACATGCTACCTAGATCAGTGTAATGAGAGGTCTGCCTGTACAGAAATACATTGCATAGTATGGTTAATGCATGTCAAAAAAATACCGTACTATGCAATACCATACTGATCAAAGTATTATTAGAATGTGTTTTAATGTAATGTGTTCCAACAATATGATTAAATGTGTCGGATCACAAAAATATTTAGCTGTTTGCTTTGTACAAATCATTGCACACAAAACAAAAAAATAGTAGTACTGTACTAAAGGTTTTTATTACAGTTGTAAATGATGTACCTTACAAATGGTAAAGAAAAAGATAATTATTATTTTGAATAATAGTTGAACAGCATGGTTTGCACAGATTTTTTTTTCTTTTTATCAGTATACAGATCTTTATAGCATCAAATATCATTTTGTAACATGTGCCCAACTCTAATGCCTTGTCCAGTGTTTGGATCTGCATTCATTATGAAATCACACGCATCTTCTACTTTCACATTTAATGTTAATAGTTCATCTAATGTGAATTCTTTGGTGGGCGCAGCATTTTCTTCTAGATTTTTGTATTTCTTTGTACATATAAGCATTCCTGATTCATCAGGGTCATCGGAATGTGAGTCAGTGCATTGACGCACATTTTCACAATCCAGAGCTTCAAATCTGAGCTGATCTTTCCTAAGCTGCACAATGTTTTCACAAACATTTTCAATTTGGGATTCAAAACTGGCAAAATCATTGGAACCGTGTGGTAAAAGAAATTGCGAAACAGCTCTCAGGGTTATTGACGCTAAAACCTTGGGTAGTTTTAAATTTAGGTTGGATAAATACATGAGAGAGAGGGGTTGGATTTGAGTGGGACTTGCACATGAGTAAAATAGATTTCTCAAAGCTTGGAAATAGTATAAACACATATGCAGTATAATGTGATCCTTTATTGACAATGTTTTGCCCACACAGTGGGCAAAACGTTGCCAATAAAGGATCACATTATACTGCATGTGTGTTTATATTTCCATTGTGTCGGTATTTTATACCATTTATTTTATCAAAGCGTATTGGTTGGTTAGCGTTGAAAATAGGTTGGGCAAATATTCTGTTAGTGGGATGGATTTGTGTAGGACCTGCCTAGTGTGGGCCAACAGGCCTGATGCAGTGTTCCTCCTTTCTTGTTGCTCGCAGTTACTTCAAGCCATGATTCACTTCCATTTTCAGTTGCATTTTGGATATTGTAACCATTCCAAAATTCATTTAAAATTATGGCATTTTCTTCTGCTGTTACTTTTATGACTTGCACTAAGGTACGTCTTAAATGATAGGCCTTAAATTTAGCAGCAACACCCTGAGCTGTTGGCTGCAATAATGTCATGTTTTGTGACAGGAAAATTACATTGACATTTTCATTCATGTTAGAAAGAGAAGTAGGATGACCTGGTGCATTGTCCAATAACAACAAAACGTTAAAATCCACATCATTATCTTTGCAATAATGTTCAACTGCAGGGCAAAAATAATTTGCAAACCAGTCTTCAAACAATTGTCTTGTTACTCATGCTTTCTTGTTTCACTGCCATATCTTGCAGCTGCCTTATTGTCTGTGCTGGCACTTTAACCAGTAATTTGAACATTATGGAATCCCACATGCTTTTTAAAGTTGTAAAACTAGCCATGACTTGCCAAAAAATTTTACCCTTCATTGCCATTTTCTTTTTTTAATATTGAATAAACTTCTTCCTTTAGCTTGAATCCTCATCTGACTTTATGGAATTCTTTTCTGGCTGCAGTCTTCAATCCATAACATTAAAAGACTTTCTATATTATTTATTATAGAACTAGGATTTTTAACAAATAAGTTTTTGACATATAAGATGCTGTAACCAGTCCGTCTTTTTGTATTATCTTTATTCCATATATGCACACATACCGATGCTTTGTTCATTTTCTTGTTGCGTGCTGTTGTAACATACGATGCACCCTCTTCGTGTTTTATAATTTCTATTTTTTCATCTAATGCTAACCATTTACATTTACATATTAGAACACTCAGCGTCATTGTATTTCCTCTGTCCACTCATATTTGCATATAAAAGGGGTACCAGTACTTTATGTAATAAAAAAATTATGTATACATATGCACTGTACTGTAAAAGAATACACAGCTTCATGCTAGTCCAGTACATACCAGTGGCCCAGTATCAGTGCATAATGCAGTTAAATAAAATTTACCACATTACACCAAAAACCCATATTGTTCACGACCATACTATACAAGGTATTACTGTACACTTCCCCCCCCCCCCCCCAATCCACCTTTTGTGGGTGGGTAGTGGGTTGTGTACATTTTCATTACTCCACAACTCATATTTTGCAACCTGCCTTCAGCTTTTGCTCTAAATCTCTCCACCCTTCACGCCAGCGCAGGCAAGTTGTTTCCTCTTCCATGAGCCTCGGAGCCCTATTGTTTTTGCTAGGCCTAGTATCACTCAGTAGTGTTTGCACATGCCTCCCCCACCTCCCACTCACACCATCATTTGCTTTGTGGACATGTAATATACCATTACTCCCCATTTCTGATATTTTCATCAACCCATCACATATCTGAATGTTAATTATGGCATCAAAATGAAATAGTAATGATTAAGTGTAAAACTTTGCTTTTAGTGAAGAAAATAAGAGTTGATGGACATTCTCAAAGGTAGTGTGCATGTGTAATGGAGGCAGCCCATACCTTCGGTGTGAGAGAATCAACAATTTGTTTAATTCAAGACAGTGAGGCCAAGATTAGAGCTTGTGTGATGGAGTAACTCAGAGTGTGATCTGCCAAAAACATCGGAAAGAGGTTGCTACGGCTAAAGGAAACTGAGAAAATGTTGAAATGATTGAATTTAGCAGAAAACAAAGTTCACCACTTAGTTACTTAGTGATCCAGGAGAAAACCTTGTACTATAATACAGTACTGTATGTGAGCAGGAGGGAAGGCCTTCACAAACCCCAGCCATCCACCTCAGGCCAGTAGGGCCACAGCAGTCCTCTCCATTGATGTTGATGCCCATCATGCATCAACAACTAGACTTTAAGGTAAGTAACATTCATATTGTATGGTTTTATTGGGCTATCCTAGGGTGTCATCCTGGTTTAATGGTATGTAATGCACTGTATATATACGTACCCCTTTTATTTGCCCATAACATCTGTATTCCCTCAATAATGTACCTTTGCAAAATAATTATTTTATTTTAGCTGATGTATGAATTTCAAACAAATCTGTTTGGCTTTTTACGAGGTGTCATCGAACGTAACTAAAATTGTCCCATAAGCTCTCTACTGCACACATCACAATTTCATGCATAACTTCATTTTCAGGAATGTAACTTGAGTGGAAGATAGTGGTCTCCTGTATACGGATAACTTTTGTATGCTTATATGCACTGTGAGCTGCCATTTTAGGCTGCTGCTAAACTGCTTGAGTTGCCTAGACTTTCCTGTATACCAATGTTTGTTGAGGAGAGTGGGGAGGAAAGACTTGGAAAGTGAAGGTAAATTTTTTACACAAAGAAAATCTCCTGGTTTTGTGTTTGTTTTTTTTAACTGGCAAAAGATATTGTTTATTGAAACAATAGTATAAAAGAAAGTTATTTCACATGTGGTTGTGCTACATCTTGCAGTTATAAAAATTTATTAAAATCCAAAGTCCTCAGTGCCTTGTAAGTTTGCATGTGTAATTTGAGGCTTGTCTATACATGGGAAATGAAAACTGGGCAGTGTTTTGGTCTCACCTGAACCATTGTTATATCCCACTTGATGAATGGTCCAAAATAGACTGAAACATTGTCTAGTTTCTATTTCCAGTTTGTTAGTTTGTTGTGAATTAGTTCAAGCAAGGGTTGATGACCTTTGTTCTTTGTAATTGAAGGAGTGAGAATATGCACACAGTATTTCCCTTGTCTAGGGTCTTTAACAATCTACAAGATTCTTTTTCCCCTGACATGGTATGTTAGAGGCAAAGTGGGTTTGTATTAAAGTGTAGGAGCTTGTTAGAAAAAAAAAGGTGTAGGGAGCATGTTAAGAGAAAGTGTTTGGGCATGTTAACCCCTTGACTGTCACAACCCCAAATCCTGAGGTGTCTTCTGATGTTGCAAAATCACCCCCCCCCCCCAACCTTATTTTTTCTTATGAAATGATAGAGAATCTTTTCCCGATTGTAATGACACCAAAAGAACAAAATTTGATGGAAAACTGACGGAATTATGCTCTCGTGAAGTTAGCGACCGCAATGATATTTATGAATCGGCGATTTCGCCCACTTTGAGCCCTATTTTCGGCTAATTCCATTGTTCCAGTCGACCAAACTCATAGCTACTTCTTTAGAACTCCATTTTTTCTATTGATTGAGTACAAGAAACTGCCCATTTACCAATTTTAACTACCCAATAACGTGGTCAGAAATTTGCAATTTGGCCAATTTCACGAATAATAAAAACATATGACAATTTCAAAATAGGGTCCAGAATGAACAATGCAGACATTCCTGGCTCTAAAATAACGTTTTCTTTGTTCATCAGTCATGTCTCCAGGCCCCTCTGATATTACTCTTGCTTTCTGTTTTGAATTTTTATTCAAACAAAAAATAGAATTTTTACTGTTATGCAGACTACTGCAATATTGTAATAATTGTATAAATAATGTCAACCCATTCATGACTGCATATTAGAATGGCTACTTGGACATTTATTGGAAAATGACATTATTTGTTTGCTTTTGAACATCGGCAAAAATCAAACATTTCCCCTACTTTGAGCTCCATTTCAAGGTTCTTTTCATAGTAAAACCAATCAAAAGCACCTCTACTTCTATAATATGTTTTCCATTCTATCAAATGAGACCAAGAAAACGAGAATACAACCATAAATACTATACAAAAATAGACCACAAAGTTGGCATTTTAATTAAAAAAAACGGTCTGAGTTTTTTTTTTTTCTCATTATGCACTGCGTGCTGCAGGATTTTCTTTATATGGTGCATACTGACCACACAGACCCATTCTCTCACATGTGAGCCTACCAGCTTTCTCCTGCTTGATTTGAAGCCACTAGAATTTATGAATATATATACGTCAAAAATGGTGGCTCGTAAGACGTATATATACGACCAAAACAGTCAAAGGGTTAAAGATGAAGTGTATAGGCATTTTAGGGGGGAGGAAGAACCTAAGAGTGTGTATGCATGTAGGATGATGAATTGATGTATTTAACCCTTTCAGGATCCAGAGGCCAAATTTCAAAGTGTGCACCAGTGTCCAAGAATTTTAAAAAAATAATTGTTATTTTTTCTTATGAAGTGATAGAGAATCTTTTTCTGAAGGTAATAAAACAAAAAGTATGAAATTTGATGGAAAATTGACGAAATTATGCTCTCGCGAATTTTGATGTGTCAGTGATATTTACGCATCGATAATTTTGCCGACTTTGACTCCCATTTTAGGCCAATTACCTTATTCCAGTCAACCAAATTCTTAGCTATTTCATTAGTATTACTTCTATTCTATCAATTGAGCACAAGAAATCACCAACTCAGCTGTTTCAACTACAAAATAAAGTGGTTGGAAATTGGTAATTTGGCCAATTTAGTGCAAAAGGTCAAAATATTCCAATTTCAAAATAGGGTCCAGAATAAACAATGCAGGCATTCCTGGCACTAAACTAACATTTCCTCTGTTCATTAGTTATGTTTTCAGGCTTTACAAATGAATTCCATTTTGATTTTTAATTCACATAACGAATTTTTATTCAAACCAAAAAATAAAGATTTTCTGTCATGTAATATTATAATAATTGTATAAATAATATCAGCACATTTGTGAACGTATATTAGACCCATCAGCTGGCGTGTATTAACCCTTTCAGGGTCCGTCCCGTAGATCTACGGCTTTACGTTCAGGGTCCAAACCGTAGATCTACGCCATGAGCTCAGCTCACTCTGATAAACTGTGAGTGGTACATTTGGGCCTAGATATGAGAGAATACATCTATGTGGTATGTGTGCACCACATAAAACAGATCCTGCAGCACACTGTGTATAATGAGAGAAAAAAACTTAAATCATGATTTTTCGATTAAAACAGCAACTTTGCAGTGTTTTTTCGTATGTTTTTTATAGTTGTATTTGCAATTTCTTGGTCTCATTTGATAGAATGGAAGACATATTACAGAAATAGAGATGATTTTGATTGGTTTTAGCACTGGAAATGGCTTGAAACTGAGCTCAAAGTAGCGGAAATGTTAAATTTTTGCCGATATTCAAGAGTAAACAAACGACCTCACACGTCTAATTACACATCAGCTGGTGGGTCTAATATACATTCACAAATATGGTGATGATATTTATACAATTATTACAGTATTGCATAACAGTAAATCTTCTATTTTTTGGTGTAAAATAAAATTAATTATGTGAATAAAAAATCAAAATGGAATTTATTTGTAAAGCCTCAAAACATAACTAATGAACAGAGGAAACGTTAGTTTAGTGCCAGGAATGCCTACATTGTTTATTCTGGACCCTATTTTGAAATTGGAATATTTTGAACTTTGTGTTAAATTGGCCATAATTAACAATTTCCGATCACTTTATTTTGTAGTTGAAACAGTTGACTTGGCGATTTCTTGTGCTCAATCGATAGAATAGAAGTAATACTAGTGAAATAGCTAAGAATTTGGTTGATTGGAATAATGTAATTGGCCTAAAATGGGAGTCAAAGTCGGCAAAATCGCCGATTCGTAAATGTCGCTGACACATCAAAATTCGCGAGAGCATAATTTCGTCAATTTTCCACCAAATTTCGTACTTTTTGTTTTATTACCTTCACAAAAAGATTCTCTACGATTTCATAAGAAAAAATAACAAATTTTTTTTTTTTAAATTCTTGGACACTGGTGCGTGACTCCAGATTTGGGCCTTGGACCCTGAAAGGGTTAAACGTGTGAGGTCACTTGTTTACTCTTGAACATCGGCAAAAATTTAACATTTCCGCTACTTTGAGCTCAGTTTCAGTACTAAAACCAATCAAAATCATCTCTATTTCTGTAATATATCTTCCATTCTATCAAATGAGACCAAGAAATCGCAAATACAACTATAAGAAACATACGAAAAAACGCTGCAAAGTTGTTGTTTTAATCGAAAATTAGTCTGTTTTTTTCTCTCATTATGCACTGTGTGCTGTAGAATTTGTTTTATGTAGTGCACACATACCACATAGATGTATTCTCTCATATCTAGGCCCAAATTTACCACTCACAGCTTGTCAGAGTGAGCTGAGCTCATGGCGCAGATCTACGGTTTGGACCCTCAACATAAAGCTGTAGATCTACGGCACAGATCCTGAAAGGGTTAAACCAGAAGGAAATAGTAAATAATGTATAACTCATTCTCATGTTGCTTGAGTTTGGTTCTGCAGGATTTCTGTAGTGTAGTTAGAAGCAGTAAGAATAACACATTTATGCAACATTTGGGTACCTTTATTGTGAAGGAAACATTTTGCCAGGCATTGGCTTCATCAGTCCAATACAGGGAAGAAAGGTGGAAGTTAAGGAGTTTGAGGTAATCAGTCCCTCAGCCTGGAGATGATGTGTTCCGTCCATCAATCTTGATAAGAGTATGACGTGTGGAGAAATGGTTATATACTGCGGACAGGTAAAATGAAGCAGTTGTAGACAGTGTCACTAGTGGAGAACTCCATTAGTGGACACTTCCTACAACTGCTTTACATCAGCTGTCTGCAGTATAAGCCACTTCTCATGTGCTTCACTTTTATCAAGATTGATGGACTGTACACATCATCTCCAGCCTGAGGGACTGATTACCTCAAACTCCTTATCTTCCACCATTCTTCACTGAATTGGGCTGATGAAGCCACTGGCTGGCAAAACATTTCCTCCACCCATTGTTGTTGCACAAGTGTCTCATTCACCAACTTATTGGTTTCCTAAACTTTTATACAATAAACCATTTATTCAATTGAAGCAGTAAATTGAAGGTCACTAAATTAGTAAAAAAATTTATCTAGTCTTTTAATTTGCATTCATTGATGAGCTTTTATTAATCTTTCAGGATAGCGCAACAACCACTTTAATATGCAGCAAGAAACCCTGATTTTAATGTTGGCAGGTTGGATCCTGTGTATCATTATCGTCCCAACACTGGCAGCTCCTCCACAAAGAGCCCCCTCCAGAAATAACCAAAAGAACGATTCGGAAAGTTTGAAGTTTGAAAAACCAAACTCCACAGCAGATTACCAAGAGCAACCATCAGACAGTTTGCATGAGAAATTAACTGAGAGAGATGAGGAATTTTCAAAACTAACAGAAGATGTGGATAGTGACTCTATTCAGGAAAAAGCACCAAAGATTGACCTAGATAAAGAAAAGTCTCAAATGGAAGGAGATGATTCAAATCAGAATGACAATATTCAAAAAGAAGTAGATCAGGAAAAAGTTGATAAAGGGGATAATGCAAATGAGGCAGGATCTGTAATAGAAAGTCCTTTGGATTCTAGTGAGAAAGAAGGGGCCCCTTGGATGGGAAAACCCCAACTTATGTAGTAATGTACTTAAATCTGCTGTAACAGACCTGAATAATACAAAATCAATCCAGAATAACTCAAATCCTTCACCTTCAGCATTACTGCCTACTATTCAAACAGAAGTGCCAGATGAAAAAAAAACTTCCAAAGGTGTAGAAAAAGGACACACCATAACAGCTTCCTCCCAAAACTTCCCCACACCCCCCAAATACCCCCCACCACTATCCCAAAAATACGGAGCATTTAATGCTAAAATACCCCCCCCACCCACACCCAATTTACCTCTGTGAGGATGAGGATACGAGACACCAACTTGAGCCTCAATGCAGGAAAAATGACGTTCTTCGTGAGATAAAAGGCATCAATAAAGGGAAAGGGCAGAAAGCAACCCATACAGTCATGCAGTGTTTTGGCATTTAAGTAAGAGTTATGGCTCCATATCATCCCCATATCATTATCACTCATCTCCCCCTCCCCCCTTCTTCTCCTCTTCACCTTTTCTTTTTTTCATCTTGGTTTGTACCTCAGTGCAGGTTCGTCATTGCAGTTCCCCTTGCCCCCTTGGATCAAACCTTTTAGTACCCCCCCCAAGGCAGTGTGACCTTTAGGGGTTTTGTGCTTCCCTGGGAAATTTTCAGGGTTTTCTCTTCCTTCTTCTTTTCTCTTCCTGTTTCAGTTTGTACCCAACCCATTTGTTGATAAAAATTTAGTTTTGATGTACTAGTTTTTATATTGTCACATAATAATGCATTTCAAAAAGTTTTTCATGTCAGTACTTTTAACCCCGATTGAAGGGACTGTTTTAAATGATTCAACAGGACAAACTTCTGTGTTAATTTATTAAGAAACAACGTTTTAAAGTCTTTTGGGTTTTAAAGATTTTCCCATTATTCTTGAATCATGCAAAACAACTTATCCCAATCTACACAGTTACCATTGCAGAAAACTTTCCCTTTTTAATCCTTTAAAATCAAGGGTTTTTTTTAAAATAAATGTAAAAGGCCATATTAAAAAAGGGAAAAGAGCCGTATCTTATGCTTTGTCAGAACTTCAGTAAACAGGATTTGTGACATGGCATAATGATATCTGTTTTCTTAAAATATTTTTTTTATTATACTGTTGTAATAATCATTTTGCAAGGATATCTAACTGGCTTTAAAAATAAAATATTAAAAACAGTTGATCAGTGTAGAGAGAGTAAGAGAAAACACTCCCATCATAACTGCGAAACACAGGGGAAACCCCCAAGTTTCTGCCTAATTATCCAGAGGTTGTTCGGTGGTTATGAACGAATTTGTTCCCAAAAAGGAATAATGTAAATTGATTAGCCCGTTTATCCCCCCAAAAAACACTTACAAAAGAAATTAAAAAAATACATTTCAAAATTTGTTCGAGTTGGGAGGTGGCCGAAACCGGGGTACACTGTATTTTAAAATTTCCCTTATGGGATACACAAGGTGCTTCAAAAAGATCCTGGATTGCACAAAAAAAAAACTAAATAGGTTGTTGTCCCTAGTTGAATTGTCTTCCTTATGGTACTCTTGGGGGTATACATGACCCCAGACTCGCCACTTCCCCAAAACTTTTCGGGAATTTTTTTAAATGGCATGTGCACAGCTTGCATTGAAACACCACCTTGAAGGCATTTTTATTTTTGGGAAGAAAAAGAAGTTACGGGGGGCTAGATCTGGGAGTAGGAGGGTGGGGACTTTTAAACATAAGAACATAAAAACAAAGAAAAGGAGGAACCTGAGGAGGCTGCGGCCCATACTAGGCGGTCCTTTCCAATTCATCCCATACAAAACATTTGCCCAACCCAATTTTCAATGCCACCAAGAAATAAGCTCTGAGTTAAAAAGTCCCTCAAATCAACCCCTCCCATCATGTATTACCCAACCCAAATTTTAAAAAACCCCCAAAGTCCAGCCTCAAAAACCCAATAGGTAGACTGTTCATCATAACTCCCTTTTTCCCAAACCCAATTTCTATGCCCTTTCTAAATCTAAACTATCTAATTTAAATCCATTACTGCGCGTTCTCTTTTTGGAGAGACATCCTCAAGCCCCTTATTAATATCCCCTTTATTAATACCTATCTTCCACTTATACACTTCGATCAGGTCTCCCCTCATTCTTCGTCTAACAAGTGAATGTAATTTAAAGAGTCTTCAATCTTTCTTCATAAGGAAAAATTTCTGATGCTATGTATTAATTTAGTCATCCTACGCTGATGTTTTCTAACAAATTTTTATGTCCATTTTGTAATACGGAGCCCAGAACTGAGCTGCATAATCAAGGTGAGGCTTACTAATGATGTATAAAAGCTGCAGTATGACCTCTGGACTTCTGTTGCTTACACTTCTTGATATAAATCCCAGTAATCTATTTGCCTTATTACGTACGCTTAGGCATTGCTGTCTTGGTTTAAGGTTGCTGCTCACCATAACCCCCAAGTCCTTTTCGCAATCTGTATGGCTAATTTTCTACATCATTTAATTTATAAGTACTAGGGTTTTTGGGCACTCCAAGCTTCAGAACCTTGCATTTATCTACATTGAACTGCATCTGCCACTTTTCTGACCAAGAATAGAGTTTGTTTAAATCCTCCTGAAGTTCCCTAACATCTACGTTTGAATCAATTTTCCTACCTATCTTTGTGTCATCGGCGAATTTGCTCATATCACTAGTTATTCCCTCATCAAGATCATTGATATATATTATAAACAACAACGGGCCAAGACTGATCCCTGTGGAACGCCACTTGTTACAGATCCCCACTCGGATTTAACCCCATTATGGACACTCTCTGCTTCCTGTCAGTGAGCCATGACTCGATCCACGAGAGCACTTTTCCCCAATGCCATGAGCTGCCACTTTCTTTAACAGTCTATGGTGCGGAACTCTATCAAAAGCCTTACTAAAATCTAAGTAAATAATATCAAATTCTTTATTGTGGTCAACAGCCTCAAAGCTTTACTGAAGAAAGTTAATAAATTAGTTAGACAGACCGGCCTATTGTGATCCATGCTGAGTATCATTAATCAAGCTATGCTTATCGAGATGGCTTCTTATAATCTCAGCTATAATTGACTCTAGTAATTTGCCTACAATTGAGGTCAGGCTTATTGGGCGTGTAATTTGACGGTAACGACTTGTCCCTGTTTTAAAAATAGGAGTTACATTTAGCCATCTTCCACATATCAGACACTACACCTGTTTGAAGAGATAAATTAAAAATATTAGTTAATGGTTCACAGAGTTCCATTTTGCATTCCTTAAGAACTCTTGAAAAAACTCATCAGGACCGGCGACTTATTTTGCTTCAGTCTGTCTATCTGCCTCACAACCATCTCACTAGTGACTGTGATGTTACATAATTTATCTTCTTCTAGCCACTGTAAAAATTAATTACTGGATATTGTTAGTGTCTTCCTGTGTAAAAACTGAGAGAAAATAATTATTTAAAATCAAGCACATTTCATTCTCATTGTCAGTAAGGTGCCCATAGTTATTTTTAAGGGGACCTATCTTATCTCTAACTTTTGTTCTATAGACCTGGAAAAAACTTTTTGGGTTAGTTTTAGATCCCTAGCAACTTTAATTTCATAGTCCCTTTTAGCTTTTCTTATCCCTTTTTAATGTCCCTCTTAATGTCAATATACGATTCATAAGATGACCCTCACTCTTTTGATACGCCTATAAATTCCTTTCTTATGCCCTAGTAGATATTTGAGCCTATTATTCATCCATTTTGGGTCATTTCTATTTGATCTAATTTCTTTATATGGGATAAACGCTCTTTGAGCAGCATGTATAGTGTTCAGAAAACTGTCATATATGATAGCTCTCTTCGTTACCCCAGTCAACAGATGATAAGTGTTCTCTAAGCCCATCGTAATCTGCTAAGCGAAAATCTGGGACTGTTACTGATTATCGCTACTATCGTACTTCCATTCAATGCTAAATGTAATTGATTTGTGGTCGCTAGCACCCAGTTCCTCTGAAATTTCTAAATTATTAACAAGGGATTCATTGTTTGCCATAACTAAGTCAAGCAGGTTATTTCCCCTTGTAGGTTCTGTCACAAACTGCTTCAAAAAACAATCCTGAAATACTTCTAAGAAGTCGTACGATTCTAAATTCCCAGTCAAGAAATTCCAATCAACATGACTAAAGTTAAAGTCTCCTAGAATTACTACATTATCGTGCCTTGTGGCCTTAACAATTTCCTCCCATAGTAGTTTCCCTTGGTCCCTATCTAAGTTAGGGGGACGGTATATCACTCCTAAAATCAGTTTTTCATGCCCCTCTGAAAATTCTATCCAAACAGACTCTGTATGTGTTACTTCAGACTTAATACCCGTTTTTATGCAACAGTTCAAGCTTTGACACGGCCTATAAGAAATTCCCACAACACCTACGATGTTCTGGATACTCTGATGACACTCTTCATAAATAGCCTTCCTCACTATTTCAGTGTTGGCATCTGTTTTTGTCAATGATGGACAGCCAGTGTTTTCATCCTCAACTGACATTCATCCTGCTTTGAATCAAGAAAAGCATTCAGAACACTGTGTCTGACCCATTGCTTCATCACCAAATGATTTTTTTTTTCTTAACATGCTGACCATCTTCCACTATCACTCACTGTCTTTGTAGAGGTGCACAGATACAACAGTTTAGATGTCACTCTAAACAGTAAATATCCCAAACCCCTCCTTTAAAGTGTAGGCATTGTACTTCCCACCTCCAGGATTCAAGTCCAGCTAACCAGTTTTCCTGAATCCCTTCACAAAATATTACCCTGCTCACACTCAACAGCTCGTCAAGTCCCAAAAACTATGTCTCCACTCATTCCTATCTTAAAACGCTCACACGTGCTTGCTGGAGTATTTTCTGAGTTTCACTAGCTGTTTTACTAAGCATGAAACAGAATGTCACACACACACATTGTTTTTTCTCTTGAAGATTCTATTCTGCTACACAAAAAAATTTTAACAACTCGTTGACAACACAAAAA